TTACGGTCATTATAGCTGAATTTAGACTGAAAGGTAGACCAAATTCGGCTATAATGACCGTGCGTTGTATTCGGGGGAAGACTAGGAAAAGGGGCAAACATGCCCTTACCCCTCTCCAACGAACCAGAGAGGTAACCTAACCTACCTTCACCGAAGAGAGGAAGATACTAGAAAGCTATGGTTGCAGGGGTCCCCTGTATAGCCTGATACTAGAAAGCTATGGTTGCAGAGGTCCCCTGTATAGCCTTAGGAGTAGTGGTAGGTAGGTAGTGAAAAGAAAGATGTGTTCCATGATGACATGACAGAACGCCAGTTCAAAGAAAGATATGTGAGGTGAGAGAAAAATATATGGCTGTCCCCCGATGAGGAGAAGGAAGCTTAAAAAAAAATAATAATTAAAAAAAATGGCAATGTATCTTTTCATGTTCTAGTGGGGGACGATGTAGTCTCACTTTTCACATTTGGAGAGTAGCATAACGAGGCCCAATTTATACGTTTTTTTTTTTAACTAAGTCCACGAGCCGACTTAACAGCTCACGAACCAGGTGCTACTCGGTACTTTTTCTCCTTTTTTTTTTTGGTTGCCTTTGAAATTCGTTTTTTTTTTCCTTTTTTTTTTACATGGTTTGTATTTCAACGTTCGTGTCTGTGTGAACCTTCTGCACCGCAATATTATTGCTTTGGGACGGCCAGTCCCCTAGCGGTGGTTTGCTTAATGCCGGACGCCTGAATCTAGACGTGGTTTGGTGCAGAGAATGCATATTGGTCTGCTTTTCTGCATCTCTGCATACTCCAATCCTGTTTTCTTGTGGGACCTCTCACCTCCGCCCCTCTCGTTGCCACCTTCACGGCGAAATTTTATTACATAAAGTAAACGTGAAAAAGTCCTTGGACAGCTGATTTAGTACAGGGTCTAAAGCGGTGCGACGGCAGGCAGGCAGCAGGCAGCAGGCAGCGGTGCAGTAAGAAACGGACTGACTGGTTCCCGCTGTTCGGTCAGTGGGTAGTTGGTAGAGGTCTGCCTCGGCTCAGTACTGTGCTGTGCAAGATGACAGACAACTGATTCTCAAAGGCCTCTGAGCGCAGGATCAGCTGGCTCGTGATCTCCTCGATCGACTGCAGATCCCACATTTATTTATCGTTCTAAAGTCTCTGTTTAGCCTAAGGAACGAACAAGAGAGTGTTTTTTTTTTTTAAAGGACGATGGCCTTGAGGTATTATCATCGAACTAACCAGCCGAGGTAAATTCAATCTTGTGTCTAATCTGACAACGGTGACCTTTTCAGCCCAGGGTGGCTGGGGAAAAAAACAGAAAAAGGAAAATGGAAACCAACGTCTCTTGCAGCTACACTACACTGCCCTGAGTGAGCGAAGCGAGGCGAGGTCTCGCCTTGTGTGTGTGTGTGTGTGTGTGTGTGTGTGTGTGTGTGTGAGAGAGAGAGAGAGAGAGAGAGAGAGAGAGAGAGAGAGAGAGAGAGAGAGAGNGAGAGAGAGAGAGAGAGAGAGAGAGAGAGAGAGAGAGAGAGAGAGAGAGAGAGAGAGAGAGAGAGAGAGAGATTTCTTGCAAGGGTTGCGTCATTGGATGACCTGAGTCGAGGAAACATACCCCTATAGGTGGGGTCTTGGCGTTCTTGTGTTTGGGGGTTCGTTTCAGTACACACCACTCTACATGCATTTGGACGCTTTCTGGGCCCAATACAATCGGAATGTTACTCTTTTCGGAATGCACCTGGTTGAGAAAGCGTCCAAATGCAGACTGTCGAGTGTTGTGAACCAGCGGTCGAGAACGCGGAGAGGGGGTTCGGATCGTCTTCCGCTTGGCTCAGAGGACATGTCTGGAGCCTCCCGCGTCTCCTTCTTTTTCTTTTTTCTTTCTTCTTTTTTTTTTGGTGCTGTTTCCTACGTCTCACATCTGGATAGCAGTGGAAAGAAGGGCACGGCGTATCGTGTTGCACTTTTTGGCTTTGACACCACTGCATGCACAGCCCATATTCGTTCACATCGAGCCACACGGGCTGTGTGGTTGTGTGAAGGGAGAGGAGACAATCCACTCCCCCCCATGCAAGGGCGTATTTCTTTTCTTTTTCTTTTTTTCTTTTCTTTTTTGAAGTAAGATTGCTCCGATCTGTTCGTGGGGAGCTGCACGAGTGTTGGGAATCGGAATCGGGCCCAATGTCCCTTATAACACTTTGAGGCCGGGGTCCTGACAGTCTACCTGGGGCAGGGTCCCACTGGCAGTTTTTTTTTTTTTTTTTTTTTTTTTAACCGAACCCCATTGCTAGGGGAGGTGATAAAAGCATCCTCCCCTAGGAGACAGGCTGCGGTGCTCCATTGTCGGTTGGTGGGGAGCCACAGCTGCTGGAAAGAGGGTCCATCGTCCCCCTGTGGAAACGATAATGATTAAGAAAATTGTGAGAAAAAGAGGGGCTTCCTGTCAACATTGACTGCCCCAGGGGAAGCTGGGGGGTTCACTGTGCAGGTGCCGAATTGAGGGCTGCCTAAGTTACCCCTTCACCCATCAAAGGGGCCCCTGATATGCTCAAATCAGCACTGGCATCTTTCCCGATCCCTACCTACGATGAAGCACTAAGATCAACCAAGCAGTGTCGAGTTTGCTCAACGACCAAATCTGGACGTGTTTGTGGAGGTGTGCAGAAAAGGGAGTTCAGTTTCCTCAACAGCACCTATCCGCAAACACGTCTAGATTCGGGCGTTATGGAAACTAAATGCTGCTAGTCGGAAAATCATAGTTTCCCCGGAGCATTACCCGGCTTAGCTTATGAAAAGTGTAAGTAGCAAAAGTGAGTTCGTCGAGGGGCCGAAGTAGTGCAAAAAGAGGACAAGGCAGAAGATTCAACTGAAGATTCAACTGAAGAAATAGATTAGGAAGTACGAGTCCATAATGAAGTTAAAAAAAAAAAAAAAAAAAAAAAGAGGAAGTGAGAGTCCATAATGAAGTAAACAGAAGAAGAAAAGAAAAAAAGAAGTAGAAGTCCATAATGAAGTAGCAGCTTGGAGTGAAAAACCACCACCGTTCCATATCTAGCAGAGTCTATACCGAGAGAAAGAAAAAAAAAAAAAAACATGGCAACTATGCGCCTATATATTGTCAAATAGAACTGCCGACGGTAAACCGTAGGCAGAGAGGGAGAAGAGGACAACAAACGAGGGGCTGTGACAAACTGTTTCGTCGGAGTATATGATTATATAACGCAAACTGATAGCATAGTTCATAACCCACCTTCTTTCGAGGGGTCTCAGTGCTGGGGTGACTGTGGTTGGGGATGGGATTGGCCGGTAGTGCCTTTCTCTGCTCAGAACTGCTGCAGTCCCTATGTAAGGGACGCTGGGCCCGCTTCCCAGTTTTAATTGAAGTTGTGTTTGTTTAAAAAAAGAAAAAAGAAAAAAAAAAAAGAAAGTAGAAAGCAGGTTCCCCTCCCCCCCCCTCTCTCCCCAACAATCTGTCAAAATAGAAAGCAGGTAACACCCTAACAACCTTTATTCCTTTTAATGATTATGACTACGTTTTTCAAACCACTTTCTTTTTTGTCAAAAAATAGAAAGTGCGGGTACTGACGTAGGTTGTTTTTCTGGGCGCCTGGGCACCCAACTTCTGCCTGGGTAAACGCCCGGGTGCACGACCGGGCATGACCCCCGGGCGCAGTTCCGGACAGCCCCAGCGCAAAAGAAAAGAAAAAAAATCAAAAAATTCCCCCCAAAAGTATGTTGTGTAGAATTGAAATACAAACGACTTTTGGCTGAGGGTCACATTATAATTCCTCACAGGATCAGAGATAAAAAAAAAAAAACCAGAATCATACAAAAGCACCCCCTATTAGACCCCTTTAGCCCCTTTAAAAGGAATTTGTACCCCCCTCCCCCCCCCTTGACAGGTTCCTTGCATAAAAGGAAATGAGCCCAGATTTGGGGTCCTTTGGGAGAGCGCACAAAAGAAAAACAAAAAGGTAAAAATAATCCTTTTTTTTTTTTCTTGAAGCACCCGGGCACCCCCGGCATCAGACCCCCCCGGCGTCACGCCCGGGTGCCTGGCAGGACCGGCCGGGCATGAGAATCTTCCTAGGTAACAACCATTTTCTAACTTTAGTCAGGGTGCCTTTTTGGCCTTTCTCAGTCAAGATGTGAACTACGGTCTTCCCTCGAACATAACGCACCGTCCATAACTAATGTGCTGTCCGGATGTATATTGCTACGATAGGCCATGCACTTGGTCGTCTTTACGGCAAAATAGATTCAGAAAGAAGTGTTTCTGTCCGATGCGGCAGGCTGCAGCCCCCTGTATAATGTAATGATCTGCCCGAACCCTCCTGTTTTTCACTAAGGTAGGTATACCTGGTATACTGGATTTATGGCAATTTTATGCATTACTTATCCTGAAAATTTATTGCTTTTTTTTTTTTTTGTCCTGTTTTTGGCTCCCTCTTTTTGTAAGCTGTGTTTTTGTCTTTTTCTGAAAACGAATTCGATGAAGCTATTAGGCTATGAGGCCTGGCTCCATTGCACAGCTTTCTAAATGTATATGTACACCATGATACTATCAATACATTCAAAACGTGAACGGGTATGTAGAGTGTTGAGTACTGGAGCGAAACCCGTGGCCTTGGGATTTTTGGCTCCTTGTGAACATGGCTGTTTTTTTTTTTATACCATGACTGTTGATTCCCTCGTCCGCTTTAAGCGGGTAAAAAAGCAGGTGCAACTTCTTCTATTTGTGCATTCCTCCCCCCCC